CCCTTGTTCTATTTGCACAACTGCTTCTTGATTCATGCACAAGTTCCCAAAGGGCACGATTATGTGTTCTGGAATTCCCATCCTTCTCAGGGAGAACCATAGTTTGTTATGATACACAGCGGAATACCTTGGCAAGATCAATAAAACACAAGAGCCAGTGGGCGTAGCTGATTTCCGGAGGCCCTCAACTCACTGCCATAGTCGATTCCAACTCCTAAGGAAGATCTGCTCTTGTGGGTTTCCAAGACTGTAACTCTTTATGGGAGTAGAAAGCCTCATCTTTCTCCTGTCGAATCCCTAGGTGGTGCAAATGGATGACATGGTAACTAAAATACTGGTGCTTGGGCTGTACCCAGAGATGCCTTGGAAGAAATGCCTGGCAATCTACTGCTAAACATTCAGCTCCTGAAAACGCTATTGAGCACTTTTACTCTGACACACATGTAGTTGCCATGAGTTGAAACCCGCTCAGTGGTGGCTGGTCTTTATGATGGTTAGCGAAACACCAGCACCCCAAGTGGGATGACATCATCCATATGGTGTGCTTCTCTGTCCAATGTTACTTCTTATAGGAGAACTCTCATATGGATAATCCGAAACTAAAGATGCCCTAAACAGAAATAACTGACTTTCATGAAAAAGTTGGCATTTTCTAACTATTTTATCCAAATGTTTATTCTAAAAATAGCACATGGATACAAAAAAATAGAGCAAGCTGTACAATGAACTCCCAATGCACCTCTCTCCCAGTTCATCTCATCTTGATTGATCTAAGCCCTCCTCTGTTCTTTCCCATTGACTTTGGAGCAAATCCCAGATATCACAGCATTTCCGCTATCAATACTTCAGTTCAAGTACCTCCATCCACAGCAGGTCAGTGGGGGCTGAAGACATCTCGCTATGCTTAAGGAAAAAACATGTCTGCCAGTGACACTCCTTCTGTGGGACTCAAAAGATGGCTCATACAATTGATTAATACACTGATGAAGACATGACTGTAGAATCTGAGCAAGACTAACTAAAATTCTTCCCTCTACTTCCTTCTTTTATAGAAGAAATGGGGGTCAAAAGATACAATGGTGGCCTCTTTCCACAGCCTAAGGCTTAGGTCTGAAAGTTCTGAGACATCTGGATCTGTGGCCATGCAGTAACTCTATCCCATTAGAAATACACTAAATACCGAGTTGATCATGACCCAGGGCAATGTGGGGTTTTAGTATTAGTTGTGTATTTAAATGAGGGATCTGCCACATATTAGCTGTAAGCTCTTAGCTGATGTCACATGCCTCCATTTCCTCATATTGTTCTGGGGCTTAGAAATAGTGTAAAACACATAGGGTGCTTGAAAGAAGTCAATCTATAGCTTCAGTGACACATCTAAATCTATAAAACGCCACACTTCTAGAGCCCAGCCAGTCCAGACTTTAGAAGGGGGAAAAGACCCAGATCCACGGGGCATTTCAGTTCGGCATAGTGGCCTGACCAAATTCTCAGTGCGTTTAAATCATTGAAGAATGCTCTTTTTGTGCTAAGATACATATGAGCGGTGTCTCATAGAACAAATACCAATATGCATCCAAATTGCAAGAACAGCCGTGGAAAGTGTGGGAGAAGTAACTTTTACTAGTATTGGTTCATTTCCTGTGGAAAACAGTTGCTACCTTAGACAATATTGACCCCTAAATCTCAAAGTCTCCATCACCTCTCCCGAGGTGCAGATACTCAACTCACAATCCATTCCAGCGGCCTATTCCAGAGAGCTCACATAATGCCAAGAAAGAAATTCTTCACACAACCCCACTCACCACCCTCCTGCGAACCTCTTCCTCCTGTTTGTATTAGTGGTACCTTGTCTGAAATCCGAGGTTCATTTTAGGTTAGGCCCTCCCCTTATCCCTCATATCCAATTGGTTCCACAATTCTGATGATCTCTCCCTCTCTACCCTGACTTCCTTCCATTCCAGTGCATACTCTCTTGGTCCCAGGCTGATCACCCCAGTTCTACACTATAAACCTCCTAGTCTCCTGGCAATCATTAGTAGCCACATCTCACCTTTCCTTCTCCGTTCTTTAACTAGACTTATCTTCAGATTGGTAAACAATCACGAGTCTCCTGCTAGAAGTACCCTCGGACTCCAACTCCCTACAGAAAAAAAAAAAGTGGCCAGCCCATCGTGCAGCTACATGCACTTGCTTCTGCTGGAGCGCTCTCTGACTCACATCCATCAATCTTCCAACACGGTTCACTGCCTCCTTGATGTTTTCTCAGACTCCCCACTCCTCACTCCTGCTTGAGCACCCTATGTCCCTGGGACCAGGCATTGCAGTGATTAAACATGTTTCACTCCGAGCATCGTGTGAGTAGATACTTTGAAGGGCCTTCAAAAAGATCATGGAAAATGGAATGAAGAGAGAATGGAATTTTTGAAGGCCCTAAAACACTCCCCCTGCAAAAAAAAAAAAAATCCACTGCAAACAAGTTGTTCTGCCTCATGAAAATCTTGCACAGGGTTCCTGAGATTGTAAGTCAACATGGAAGCAGATAGCCTCCTCTTTCTCCTGAAGAGTGGCGGGTGAATTTGAATCACCAACCTTGTGGTTCAATGCTGACCCAAGAGTGCCACCAGGACTCATCTCTGTATCCTGAAGGGCATCCTTGGGTGGTAGAGATGGTTAATATTATCTACTATTAACCCAAAGGTTGGAAGTTAGACTCCAACCAGAGGTTCTTCGGAAGAAAGGTCTGGCAGAGCAATGACCAATGGAGCACAACAACACTGACACACAGGAGGTCGTCCTTAAGTCAGAATCAACTTGACAGAAACTGGTTTGGTGTCCCCAGTAGCTAGCGCAAAGGAGACTCGGCAAATATTGGTTGGCAGCAGGAATTCTAACACGGTCACGATGTGACCACAAAACTCAGAAGGTAGCTACGCCTCCTCACAAAATTCCACGCAGTAACGAAAATTTTAAAATCTCGTTTGTCTAAAATAGAGTGGCAATTAAAGCAGGAGAGGGAAAAGAGATGGAGTGATGTTCACATTTAAAAATTAAGGTAAAATTAAGGTGGGCTCTCTCACTCCCTATATCAACTGGAGCTTCGGGGACACAGATCATGTAGGTATAATTTGTCCTGAATGTCCCAATGAATAAATGTTTAAAGAGCTAAGAAAAGGTGAAGCATTGCTAGCTAAAGAGTTGGGCACTCTGGGTTTACAGCATAGTGCATCTGTTTAGGTAAAAAAAATGCCTGGATTTAAATTCCATTTCTGTTGCTTAATACTTGTGACCTTGGACAAGTCACTTTAACCCCTAGAAGCCTTATTTCCCTCTTCAATAAAATGTGTGTGGTAAGAGTTCCAATCACATGTTTGTGGTCGGATGAAAGGAGCTTATGTATACAGCTAGCATGATGCTTGGCACACAATTGGTGTTCAGTCATATATTATTTGTATTCAATTTAACAATCAGGTGGAGGGTATGCCAGTTAATTATTTAGAGTATGCCAAAATAAGATGGTGTGTCTGTATTGGAGGCTGCCCATGCAGTTAGCAAGAATTTCTCGGGAATTTCCACTCTGCTAGGTACTAGTGGATATCAAGTCAATTGCTGTTACTCAAATAAAAACTGCATGCATGCCAACTTCATGCCAGCGTGAATGTCAAGGCCCAATTATTTTACCAAAACTAAGGGTAGACCTGCTATTCCATTTGAGCATGAGCAGGAATACAGCAGAGATTTGCTAGCTACAAGTCTGCTTCTCCCCTCTTGGCCACAAAGCTGTGGCACATTTTCTAGCTTCCCTCCCAGTTACGCTTGGTCATGTGATACAAGATTTTTGCCAGGGCAATGTGAATAGAAGTGATGTCGGTCTTCTCTCTCTCTCTTTAAATAAGTGGACATTTTTAATAGCTCTTGGGTCTTACTGTTGGCTCAGGTAGGTGAAGAAACCTGCTCAAGGCCACATCGTCAGTGAGGGCTAGAATTGCTTTTAGTGTCTGGACCTGACCTGGTCTTCAGGAGGTTACTATAGCAACACCTGGATACCTTTGTGTACATGGGTGGCAAAACTGATGGAAAAGGAAGGGAAAACTACAAAAGAACCTGAGTGGAAACTCCTAAAAGCGGAGATTGAGAAGAAAAAAAAATTGGACCGTAAGAGCAAATGCAACTTTTCCAAGGATGCCGCTGACGAAACATTGCAAACAGAGCCCATCTGCTCTCGGAAAATGTGTGTCTTCGAAATAGGCATTGGCGAGAAAGTTTAAATTCCTCTCCTGCCTGTTGGAGAGTTGGGTGCCCTGAATTTCTGACACATTTATCAGCTAGTATCTGGTGACTTCACCAGTTTGGAGGAATTTCAAGGAACATTGACTTAGTTATTTAAAGGCAGACTTCCTCCCCCCATAACCTTTTATTGGCAATTATTTTAGGAAAAGATGCCTAGAGTTAGAAATGGCCACCAAATAACTGTTTTCATGGGCAGTATTTTATTCGATTCATAGCGACTCCAGCAGAGCTCTCCACAACACTTACATCAACAGGAGAACAAACAACACGCCTCCCACAACCTGGGAAACTGTGTGGTTAACCCTTTTCGGCGATGAGCGGGCAATGGCCCATAGACACCAGTGTAAGACCACGGAGCTAGTACATAAATTTCGGTTTGATTTGGAAGATTGACAAAGTGGTCTTCATTATACTAGAAGTAATATTACTCTCCCCGCAACCCCTATCCCACCCCCACCCTCCAGTGGCCAGAGGGAAAAGAAATCCCTTTCACTTGAATTCGGTTTCCACTTATTTCCAGAAGGGAAGCCAAAGCACTCAGGAAATACGTTGACATAGCTTAAAAGGATGGGATATTCCAAGCTTTGGTACCAACAAGGGCGCAGTGGAAATCCGCACTGGGTACCGGAAACCGAGAGGAAGTGGGGAAGTTTCTTCCACGAGAGGCCAGGATGCCCCGCCAAGCTGCCCGGAGCATCAGCCGCTCTTACCTCGCAGCCCGCGGGCCAGCCTCCGGGCCCAGGCCACGCGGGGCGGCTGCCCGTCCCCGGGGAGGTGGCGGTGCAGCGGGTCCCCGCCGCCGTCTGGGCTGGAGCACGGCGCGCCCGGGTCCTCTCTTCGGCGCCGCCGCCCGCTCGGGTGGCCCGCGCCGTGGTAGCCTCCCAACGCCCGGCCCGCGGCGCCCGCGGAGCTCACAGCCGAGGAGGCCACCGACCTCCGGCCGCCCGGGCGCCACTCCACGTCCATCTCCACCACCATGCCCCCTTCTTCCCCTTCCACCTCCTCCTCGTCCTCCTCCTCGTCCTCCTCGGCCTCGA